GATGAAAAGTGCAAAGTGCCGGGGGGGGGGTGAGAGAGAGAGAAAGAGAGGGCAGGAATAGAGCTGGGTTTGGGTCTCGGCTGTGGAAAGCATCTTTCTCGCACGCTGAAGAGTTCAAAAAAATCCACCAGTTACTCCATACCACAAATAAACTAAACGCAGTACTAACACCAGTCGTATGGGCACTTTCGCCTACCCATACTGATTCGGATAATTAAAGCAGCCCATTATCGCAACAAGCGCAAGACGTTATGGGTCTGGTCACTAAAAAAGAACATTCCGAAGCATGCGGCTGCAGATGGAGCCACGCAAACTCTCTTGGCCGTGGAATAATTATTGACATTACGTACAATGCACTAAGCCAAGCCAGACGAAGCATTACGCACCGTAGGAGAAATGCAGGACAGTGCAGACAGACAGACTGGATGGGCGGAACGGTTGCGACATCTTTGGTCCTTTGACTGCCAAGATCGGCTAATTCTCGACGTGCGATAATTTGACCAAAAGCGCAGGCAACAGCTGTTAACAACTACAAGGTCAAGGGAGTGAGTCCAACACGGTGACCCGGAATGGAAAAGGCAGCCCGTCCCCTCCGTTCGTTCATCACCTTGAGCGTTGCGAAGGTGTTACAATATTCGTATAGGGTTATCGTCGTGTTGCGCATCATGCCAAAACGGGCTCTTCGCGTATCACAGCACTTTTGAAATCTCGCAGTATCGAGCATGCTGCATGACAGGAAACTGCAGTGTATTGGAGGGCTGTGCATCAGCGCATGTTACGCATTAGTTAACTGATTCATTAATTAATGAAATAATGAATTCGACATCAAAAATAGTCTTTTTTTTTTCTCATGTTGCAGCTAAACACCCACGAGCCTTCAATGTTGACATGTGCCCGTGCCAGGCTTCAGATTCAAGCATGAGCTGGTTGAACATGACTAGAAGTAAACCTGGCCAATGTGGTTTTTCAATTCAAACACCCACGACTGGCATTCTCACGTGGGCCTTGCCGCATTGCAAACATGACCTTGGAGAATGTTCACGGAGGCCCAAGGAACGAGAGGACTTGCATCTTGCTTTCCGGCAAAAAGCCCATCATGCCATATGCATATACGCATGGCCTACGGAGTACATTGAGTGTCAAATATCCCGTATACGTGCTAACATTGGACCCAAGACAATCAATCACCATTGTGCGCCGTCAACCCCGAGGCTTTGCCTTTCCGAGTCATACAGCTGTGCAGAGACAGAGAGAGAGTGTGAGCTCAGTGTCTTTCACCCATCCCCCCATGCTAGGCTGAATGAAGGAATACCAACACGGGGCCATCAACTCGAAATAGCTGCCGGGGCCAGGCTGCAAGGCTGAATGGGTTGGTAGGCATGACGTCGCAGCCTTCTCTCCCGCCCTCCGTCACCTCACTACTACAAGTCATGATTGCGAGCCTCCATGGGCAATTGACTCTGCCCGCCTAGCCGACCACGCTGTGCCGGTTCCTGCAAGGACCACCAGAGGATGGATGGATGGGTGTGTGTGTGTGTGAAATCATTCTTTCAATCCATGACCAGGGGCCCTGAGGGAGCGGACGACTTTGATGGCATGCGCAGTTTGATGTTTGACCGGTTATCGCGCACCGGTGGCTGTGGCTGCAGTGCGAATTGCAAGGGCGGTGTGATTATGGCCTTTGGGAACGAAAAAAAAGGGTTGAGTGCTGTCGTCTTTGCTATAGTTGCCATCACTCATTTGTCGGTTGAGTATTCGCTGCAACGGGAGGCAGTTGTGGCTGTGACAATTCAAAAGGTCCTTGACGGGAGTTGCACGGCAAAGCACACAAAAAAAAAGGACTCGAGTAACAAACATTGGGCCGTATGGTAAATGGCTCCTGCAGTTTTTGGACGCGTCCACGGTTCTAGATGCCATCATCTGCATGAGAGGCACCGCTCGCTCAGGCAACGGGTTTTTTTATGGATCAACAGACAACCGGCGACGACAGCCGAGGTCAGCTGGGCTCCTTTACATGTGTGTGTCCATGTGTCCATGTACATTCTCGTATGCAAAACGTGGAATTCGAGATTGATATTGGGTGAGCGTTGTTTCCGTGTTGGCGGTGCCGAAACGTTTGGTTAACAACTTGCTACTAGTTACAATATTCCTCGCATGGACGTAATAAGCCCAGGAAATGTTATTGGCGGGTGGTGATTGGTGCTTGGTGATTGGCATGTCTTCACATCCCTTGCAAAGTAAAACTTGTCTCTCATTGTCATTTCTGCACTCCCCCTGGCGGGACTAGCCTTGGTCAGGACACTCGAGGATGGTACTACTTTTATTACACCGCATGTACGGACGTGGTATTTGAGTCGCGTGGAGAGCTCGAAACTGGAAGACTGGAAGACTGGAAGACTGGCAAGAGGGGATTTACAAAGAAAGAGAAAAAAAAAATCTATGCCGCCAAGACCTTGTCGTCGACTATGGGGCCAGTTTCTACCGCTCTCATCTGCGCATATCGGATACATCTTCTAATAACGCAAGCTTGCATGTGTACAAACGTAGTCAGTCCATGAATCGGCACGCGGTAGACCAGGTGTAATCTGGCATCATGAGTTGCTCTACTCGACAAAGTTGCATTCACTCATCAGTCATTTCACGCACTCCGTAGGTGACACACACCCCGGCTTTGTGCGTTTTGGCTTGACAACAAACTCAATTGCGCGCAGCTCGGAACCCAACGCCGTGCAACCGGTTGCTCTGCAAAAGAAGGGGAGCTCGTCTCTCGTGCCTTCTCGTGCCTTTGTGGTCTTGTCGTCTCGTCGTCCCTTCATATCCGCTCCGGCGCTTACTCTTGGCCGAGTTCCACACTGGACGGTAGTTGCATGGTAGGATGGTGGTAGTATTGCAACTCGAGCGCCAAGAGAAGAGCACGAAAAGAGCACACAGTACGGCGTCGTACTATGTATTTGGCGTTTCCCTCTCCCGCCGCCAGGGTTCCGAAAGGTCAGAATGATGAAACCCAGGCCAGTCAACCATCAGACGGTTCAAGCCACGCCCACCGCCCAAGGCAATCAATCGTACACATTTACACATTATACCAGACATGATACATAACTCGATACGGCGTCATTGGCCTGAACATTGCCAGTTCTCATTTTCCCTTGCACACACGCCCCCCCGTATTACGCACGCATCCCGCCCCCCTCCCCCCTTCGTCCATTTATTTATTCGCCTTGCAAGTTTCGCACTCTGTTGGCGCGCGCGCGGCGCCTTTTTGGCTCTCTTGTTTGGACCGAGTATCAAATCAGACGTCAAGTTGCCTTTGATTATAGCCCGCCCATAACCTCCCCAGTATAGTGTGTCTGTCAGTCCTTTTGATCAACACGCCCAACGGCGTACAGTACATACGCTCGAGTTGCATTCCAAGTATAGCCCAGTCCGATGGAGAGCTCGTGAGTCTCTTGTCGCAGGCCCTGGCTCGCCTCAATTCGTTACACTCTGGTCTGGCCCAAGTGGTTGCGTGTCCATCGCGCCTCTCACACCAGTGCCTTCATACGCTCGTCTTTGCCTGCTTGGCTGGCTGGCAGTGAAGAGCTCTCTCGTCGTCCTTTGGCCTTATTTCCTATTAGCTGGGGCAACCCAGACATTTCGCACCCTTCCGGCCCCTAAGCATCTGGCCTCTGTCAAAACGACTCAACGTGGCCCTTGAGTTTCTCATCATTCCCAAACCCTCGGGCCCGCCTCCGAAACTACCGTTCTATCCTGTACCTTTTCTCTTCTCCCTTTTTTTTGGCCCGCACCACACTATTTCCCCCCATCCCCGTTGCTCTTCTCGTCAGATACTGCTATTGTCTATATCTTGAGTAATTCCATTTCTACCATAGGATCACAGGACCACAGGACCACGACAAAAAAAAAACAGCAACCCACGCCACTGCCCGTCGTCAACCCACAAGCAATACAACCTTTGTTTTCTGTCTTCTTATTCCTCACCTGTCGCAGAAAGACAGACAGACCATCGGAACTCGGGCCCGGGTAAAAAACATTAAAAAAAATTCTGGGGCTTGCAAGGAGTTGCCGAACCTTTGCAAGATAACAACTACCAGCTACATCACATCTACGAGGCACTATTACAGTGTTAATTTGGTTGAGTTCCCACTTGGTCATCCTTGTCTTCCATTCTCTGCTGTCCTTGACTCACTTTGGACGTCTCATCGTCTGATTATCACTACCACTACTAGCACTCTATTTTTGTTTCTCCCTGCTTGGACCTTGTCTTCTTCATTTCTTCATCCTTCTTTTCTTCTTGCTGTCTCGTCGCATACCTTTCGATTTCCGCTTTCCTCCGCACGCATTCGCATACGCATACCGACTACGCAACTTTTGCCTTTGCGCCCGCGTGTGTCATGGAGGATCCTGGTGTTAAGAACAACAACACTACGCCGACTGAGCGCAAGTCGCCGTCTCCAGCGTCAATACCGACACAGGCGCACACATCCTCTGAAGGAGCCGACACCACAGCCGCGCCATCAGCAAATCGAGCAACTCCTGCTGGAGCTTCCTCGGATGAACCGCCTGCATCCGATTCTGTTCCTCAACCCAAGCAAGAGAATGGTGTTTCGCACGAAACCGAGGGTGCATCCAGTCGAAGCGGCGGAGCTGAGCAGCCGGACAAAGGCGAACAAACGCCACCTAGGTGAGTTGTCAATTGTTTCCTTTCCTCATCCCAGTTCCCTCCAGTCTTGGGTCTCAGGTCTTGGCTCCATGATAGTCGTGGTCCACTGGCTCTACGCCTCTGTGCCGCATCAATTGATTTGGTGGCTTTGTGCACCCTTCAGCCCATTCGCAAACTAGTAGTTTGCTTTTGGTAGCCAATCTCCCCCCAAGTCTTGAAAGACGAGACTTGCATCTGGCTGGCCTGGCCTACAGCTTCACCGCGGCGGGAACCCCAAACAAAAAGCCTCGAGATGGGTTTGGTCGGCGGTTGCACCCGGCGGTCTGGGTTCGCTGCTCGCTGCTCGCTGCTCATATTTCTGCCTGCCTTCTCCCATGCTGCCTCGATGTTTTATAGCTTCGGCCCTGCAGCTACGCCCAGGCCCGGGTTGGGCAGTTGCCTCCATGTCGATCTATACTTGGACGCCAGCAATTCCGCAGTGCCGCCGAGCCGGACGAGTCTTTGTGTCTGGTTGCGCTTAACAAGCAGTGCTGGCTGTGGGAGGCCTTTGGAAGCCCAATGTTGAGAGAATTCTCGAGTGGTTCGAGCTGTTCCGAGCACTGAACTGGCTGCTCCCCCCCCCAACGACCGCCAAGTGCTGCGTCCACCAGCACCAAGGCTGGATTCGTCCATGCACTTTTCATTTGCTTTCATTTGCACATCGCTCTTTCCATTTTACCAACCGCAACGGCAATTTCATGCCGGGCACCAAAAGGAGGTCCACATGCATGACTGATCCAAAATGATCCAAAACGATACGCGAGTTTCTTTATCTTTACTCTTTCATCTCGTATGATCACCACCTCTTGCGCCCCGAAGCGACCCGATCCACACTCCTCAACATCAGTGCTCCTTCCACCGGCACCCTTTCTGTCAGTTCTCAACCCGGTTTACTCTCGTATACTTGCAACGAGTCACAAAGTCAGAAAGTCGGGAGTGGAAAGAGTCCGAAAAGCAGCTTTCACCATAACCTTTGTCACCGAGCACGGCCGTGTGCCCTATTTTCGGAGCTGCAAAGTGCCCAGTGCCGGGCAGATGCTGCATTATCCACGTGGACAAGTTGTAAAACGCAACTTGACTTCGCTCTTGCTCACTGCTGCGCCAGTGTTGCGCGCCCAAAGGTCAGCGCTGGGCTGGAATCCGCTTCTTTAAACAAAAGCCTTGTTTCACGGACACACCCCAGCGCAGTTGGCACGGCATAGCTCAACTGGCATATGGACCACTGGTGTCCGTTGAACTGATGTTGTGTTACACCAAAGGTTTATGCGCGCAGACATAATACGGCCACTTCTACTGGTTTTTATCCCGTGAAGTCGGGCTTGACTCGTGGTCTCTGTTCCAATCGGTGCAGACGGTTTGTTACACCGCCACTAGAACGCGCAGAATCAGAGACAAGTGTTATCGAGCGCCTGAGGTCTGGTGTGTTTCCTACCATCACTGGTTTCAGCCGAGTTGTAAGAGGAGTCAAGTCGCACATCCTGCAACTGCGCTTTTCTGTGACTTTGTCCGTCTCTTGTACTTCACAGACACCATTCTCGTACATCACGTGTTCGTCGTGCAATAGTTCCCTGTGCGAAAGGAGTTTCACCCGGGTTCTTTTTCTTTTACCCATATATACACACACACACACACACACACACACACACACACACACACACACACACACACACACACACACACACACACACACACACACACACACACACACAAAAAAAAGAGTATACATATATGTTTACTCTTGTCTCAAGATAGAAGCGGCCAGACATGCATGCTACAGAATCGCCCTCGGGGCCTATCACAAGAACGAAGATCATACCAGAAACGTCGACTAACATGATGCTTAGACGGTTGAATGGCAACAAAACTCGCCAGGAGGATAACGAGGGCGATAGTGAACTGAGCGATCCGGACAGCAATGTAGCATTCAACGAACTGGAGGACGAAATTGTTGTCAGCGGCCGGAGCAGCAGGGGAGCGCCAAAGTTGCCAAGCGGGCGCCAAGCTTCGGAGTGCAACGAGGACGAGGCGATGGAAGACGCTCCAGGGGAGTCTGCTGGTTCGCATTATCCTAAGCGAAAGCGAACTTCCATCTTTAATGATCTGAGCGAGAGCAAGCTAGAAAGCGCCCACACTGCGGCCCCTGAGAGGTCACCCACTTCGCCCACTAGTGCAAACAAATTCAAACCCAATCGTCAAAGTCTCGGTGGTCCAGGGGTTAAAGGTGTTCTTCTGGGAACTTGGAGGGATTCAAACGTGCCAGATGAGGACAGGAAGCACGCTGTTATCGGCTTCATCGATGTCCGAGATCGCCTACGCACTCGGATTCAACCCAACACGAAATATGGGGAGTCATTGGCTGAGGAATATCCCTTGCCTCCAGGACCTGGTGGAAGCTGGGTCACCTTTGAGCGCGTCGTCTTTTCTGACCATCTTGTTGGCTTGGACCACTTCCAAGTAAAGGAGTATACCCGACTTCGATCCGAGGTTGCACCTGAGGAAACTGAGGATGGCCGTATAGCCGCTGAGCACGCTGCCGTTAAAGAGGCAATCCGCCGCGTCAAGGAGAACCCAGCTTTGGAGAATCCGGTACAGCCTCCTGCTATCGCATACGGTATCGATATGCCAGAACATCTTCAGGGTCCCGGCCGCCCTGACCTCAAGCGCAGGCGTATCAGTGGTGGTTTTGCCGCTATTAACCCAGCGCCTCCTGATATTGCCCCCGAGCCGACTGTTCCAACTTCGCAGCTGGCTATTGCTGCTCATCAAAATCGATTTTCGGTTGATCCTCTTCCAGGGACTCGACCGACGCGCATCTTAATAGGATATTGGAAGCCGTCGAGTGAACTTGATCCAAAGGATCGTCACGCTGTGTATGGTATCTTGGGTCAGAATGACATGTTTCGTGTCAAGGTCGTTCGAGAGACTAGGGATGGCCGATTCGTGGATGGCAACTTTCCATCCGGAGCCGGTGCTTTATGGATTGCTTACGAGGAGGTTGAATTTGAGCCACATTTGAAAGCCCTTAACAGGCAAGAGGTTAAGGAATACTGCCGCGTTCGGCAATATCAATTAGATCATGGCGAATCCTCTGCCGATCGCATTGAGAATGAGACCAAGGCTGTGTACGAGGCACAGACCCGAGCCGGCACAATGCCATATAAGCAACCCCACAACGTCACAGTTCCCACGTTTACAGCCTCTCCACAAGGCGATGGCGATGAGCGCATGAATGGGCGGCATGGCTACGGTGGTCACGAGCTCCGTCAGTCGCGCCGAACTGAGCCGCGACCTATCCGGGCATCGCTCAGCGAGAGTGAACTACGCGCAAGCCGACTTCAGAGCGTAGAGGCTGTGGAGAGAACCAACGCGTTGGCGCGTCGCGAAATTGCGAGAGCTGAAGCTGCTCAAGGCCGCGCAGATCGTCATGCCATGCAGAGAGAGCGAGCGGCGGCTGCAGCTGCTGCAGATGCTGCCAATGCCGCCGCCGCCGCAGCCGCAGCAGCCTCCAACATGCCTCTCGAGCACCATCACAACACCAACGGCCGAATGCTCTTCCATGAATCTGACGATATGCAACGACTGAATAAGGTATGGGCTCGACAGGAGACCCTTCGCATGAAAAGCAGTTCGGACGAAGCCAAGATTTATGACGGAGTCAAGTATGAGCGCAAGGCAACCGGGCCTTTTATGGGAAAGCTTGTATCGCAGGGCACGATTATCAATATCGATGGTGAGGACTATGTCGAGTACCGCGTCCTCACGAAGCCCTCGTTCTTCTAAGCGTCATATCTGCGTTTTTTTTTCTACTGGCAGGGAGTATAAGAACGATTGATACGATTCGGATACAATGGTGCTGCCTACATAAAGATGGCTATGCTGGTTTGGCCGGTATTGTTACCATCACCGATTAATATGCTGAGCAATTTGGCGCCGGCTATTCGAGACAAAGGTTGGCTGGAGGGCATAATGCTTGATTATTTTACTTTGCTGTGGCTCGAGCCAAACCGGCCTTTGACAAGCGGTTTTTGATTTCGGTCTTTTTCCCCCTTGCCTTCTACAATTTGTCAAATCACCTTGATTTTTCTTCCTGCAACATTTCATAAAATCAGGGATCGACGTCTCAAAAAGGACGATGGCACATTCCCTCGGGCGTGGACTTCCTTTTATTTAATTTTTTTTCCTGCCGTTTTAGAGATGCGGATTCGTACAGATGGCACCGTTGGAGAACAAAGCTCAGATTGAGGACATGGTCACGAGTGTCCGTCCGGGATGAGGATGGATGAGTTTGCGATGGATTCAAAGTGGTAGCATTACGTGGACACGGAGCATGGAGTTTGTTTGGTCTGTTTTTTTCATTTTGTGCTGTACAGAATCCATGTGCTTTACGTGTCAGTATACCCAATGTGGAAGACTTGCGTTGGTATCGTATGAGCAGTCAGTTGAAGTTCAAAAATGTTTCTCCAATCAATTTACGTGATATTACAAAGAGAAAGACGCGGTCAGGTTTCGTTATAATTCGAGTATATATACCCCCGGTTCAAACTGCGCTGCTGATTTTTCTCTATAACCCTCTTGAATCAAATTCACTTCATATGCGTCATTCCCACTATATATTTTGCATTTTATTCATCGTGGCCGCCAGTCTTTTCAGGCTCCTCGTATCCCTCAACCTTCATATCTTTTAGCCCCAACTCCTCCTCCTCCTCTTCGGTCCGCTGATAATTCTCCCTTTTGATCTTGGGATCAGGAGCGGGCGGATCGACAAGTGGTTGCACAAAACTGCTCGCAAACGGATCCGTCAGGATGACGGTGAATTCCTTTTCGCCCTTGATGGCGGCATCCAGCCCCGCGAAGAAGGCATCCCACTGCGTCTTTTCAGAGGAGCTCAGCGAGTCGCCGCCTTGCCCCGCGCCGTTGGCTTCGAAGATTTGGCTGTGCAGGTCGTTGCGGACTTGTGTGAGGAGGCCTTCTACGGTGGTGAAGCGCCCGCCCAGCGTGCCGGGGTTGACCTGGAGCTGCAGCTCGGGACACTCGAGGCCGCATGTTTCGGATTTGAGGATGTCACGGGCAAGATCGGTGGCGTCTTGTACGGTGAGGGTGATTTTCTCGCCGAGCTCGGGGATTTCGCCGCCGGTTTTGACATCGTTGGAGCGGTAGCCGCAGTGGTCACAGACGGTGGACATGAGGACGACTTGTTTGAAATGCGGGATGTCCACCATCTTCATATGCGTTGTGCAGGGGTGCATGCAGCCAGGGCAGCTGGCTGGGAAGCTGTATACTTCGTTGGGGATGATTTCACCGTCTGCCGTGAGGCCCGGGTTGGTGAAGTCGGCAGGTGCTTCGGTGGTGTCGCTGATGCCGAGGAGGGCGTTTTGTTCCGGGGTGCGGACAAACTCGCGCTTCTCCCATTTTCCTACACCGTCTTTGAGGTCGGGTGCGATGAAGGAATTGCCGGCCGGGTCGTCGACATAGAAGCGGAAGGGAAATGCGTCGCCGGCGAGCATGGAGCGTCCTTTGGAGATGATCTCGGCGATCTTTTCGGCAACTTCGGGAGATTGTTGTTTGCGGGCTTCTTGGTTCATTTCGAGGTCATCCATGACGGTTGTGAGCAGACCCTCGACGTTCGTGAGTTGGCCGCGGCCCGGGGGGATCTCAAGATCCAGTTCGATGAACTTGACGGTGGCGGTGTCGGACTTGACGACTTGCCGCGAAAAGTCTTCAAGGCTGGTGAGACGAAGCTCGTAGTGTGTCCCTTTTGGCTGGACGGTTCCGGCGGCCTGGATCTCGTTGTTTTGCACGTTGCAGTGCTCGCAGGAGAAGGACATGATGACCACTTCGCGGAAGTAGGGGATCGCTGTGAGGAGGAGGCGGGTGACGCCCTATATAACTCATGTTAGTATGTTGAATTAGAACGTCTGAGTATTAAAATCGGCGGTAGAAGGACGCACATTCTCGCCGCAGTTCATGCAAAGCGATTCAATCTCCTCGACGGGTCGATACTCTTCGTCTTCCTGGGTGGCGCCATTACCGGTGGCCGAGAAGCCCGCAACCTTGTTACCGATAGACTCGAAGAACTCAGTCGGGTTCTGCGTCGTCTCTTCTTTCTTTTCTTCGGCAGACATGGCGCTGTGGTGCTCTTTATCACAGAGCGACGGCGTGTAGATGGAGTGTGTATGCTGGTCGCAGAATTAGAGGCATGGAGGTTTGTGACTCGGATGGAGGGGCATTGAAATTTTTGGAGGGGCAAATCTGGCGGTACCCCGTAGCCTTATGTCATTCCAGGTAGCTAGCGCGAGGCTGCTGGCTGGCCTGGGGGGCATTTTAGTGGTCTGGTGGCGCGGGGAGTCCCTTCAAGGGTGCGCTAGAAGGCAACTGAAGCTTCCAGTGGGTCATCCCAACATTGAAGGCCGAGTTTGGAACAGAAAAGGCTGTCCAATGGCGTTGCCGCATTTTATGCTGGGTTTTGATGTTGCGTAGCCACCTCGAGACTTGAGAGGAGGGCAGTTGCTGGCCGGGGGAGGCCGTGTTAGACGTTCCCTTGAACTCCGAAAAGGAGGCGTATTAGGTGCAGAGCTGTCGTGCGTGGTAGACCGTGTCGTCTCATCCCATAAAATCCGCAAGGGAGAGCGAGCTTGTTGATTTCTGCTGTTGTGCAGCAAGCAGGGCTTGCAGCCCGCCTTTGCGGTTCTTGGCCCTCTTCTTGCTGCTTGCATTTGCCGTCATCTTCTGATTTTCTGGCTCCGCCGGCACCGTCTTCCTGGCGGCAGACGCTCTCGATATCTTTCGACGTGTTGCTGCCTCGGGTGCTGGAAGGCTGATCGTAGTGACTCGACTGCAATGCCCACATGATATTGATTTCGTTGGTCCTGAAGAGGCAGCGTTTGGCTTTTCCCGCTTCTTCTGTGAAGCAGCCCGTCTTCGCAACCTGTGTATTTCGCGACGCTCGAGCTTCAATAACGTCTTGTCTCCCGGAATCATGATATGTCCGCAGGCGCCGCAGACATGTTGCCGCTGTACTTCGTGTTGAGTCAGGTTGTTGTGCAACATCAAATCATCTCGTTGCCTCATCAGGTGCGCAGAAGTTTCCGGGGCCGTCTGTCGGAGGAGATGTGCCGCATCGGTGAGGTAATTGAGGCCGGCTGAAAGCTCGTCTGACGCCATTCTAGCGAGATGATTACAATACTGTCGATACTGATGTCCACCTTAGTCCGAAGTTGAATGCATTCAGCGAGTTTTGGCCATGTCAGAGTCGTATCAAGGAAGAACGACCCTTGGCAGGCTGTGCATGCATGGGCTTACGGGTGGGGTATCGATAGCGTCCTGGCTCCAAGAGGCGCTGCTACCCTACACTTTTTTCTCTTTTTTAACTAAGCTCCTTTTATTTCCTTCGACCTAAGCATCTAAGCTCTGCGAATCTCCCAGGTGATATCCTTGATGCTTACTTCCTCTCCAGCCTTTTCGTCGTAGTCAAACCATTCCCCATCTGCTAGGTCGATGGCTGTAAACTTGGTGCCCGAGTCAACACCCTCGGCGAGCCACTCTCCCTGTCAATGAGCATTAGAACTTTGTTCAAAGAATGAAAATCTGTCATCAAGCCATATTCCCACCTCTGGCTTAAACTCGGTGAACTCGAGTCCGCGGCAATCAAATTCAATAATCTTGTGCGTCTTGGGTGGTTCAGATTGCTCGTATGCCAATGGTGCAGCTTTGATGGAAGCCGATGATTCGCGCTGCCAGATTCTTTAGCGACCTCTTTCCTGCGAATGCCTGATTTCAAACGAAGAAAATACCTTGCAGTTTTTGCATCTCCATACAAAGTTGGCTTCACCCCGGCTGCCGCTCATCTCGTTGGTTTCCTGTGTGGGAGATGAGAACGACCTGACCATCAGGGTTCAAACTAAGATGTGCTTGGGCACTTACAAAACGGTTTACACCCACATAGTTATTGTGTGTCTCTCTGCATGACGTACATTGCACCTTGAACATATACCAGAATGGGTTGTCCTGGGTGTCGTCTGGTCGCAGGTTCGTTACTCTGGGGAGGGGGGGGCAAGGTTAGCGACTTGTATTCAAGCTGTTGTCATACAAGACACATACCCTGTCTGCTCAGCTTTGATGGCTAATGTAAACATCTTGAACGACAGACTAGCTCACACACTGGAAATTCTGTTTCCAATGTCAGACCTAATGGATCACTCGCGTATTCTCTAGTCACTGTGTCTCGGTGTCTCGAGTCCTTGTCTGAGCCAGATGCAGCGCTTGGCGGGGAATATGGAGCGTGGAGTGCACGCGCAAACCTGAGGCTATCACGTGATCAAAAAGTATCAGCCCATCTCACGAGCCGAGTAGCTCCCGAAGCAGTGTTTCGTAAACGAATTGATATCGTTCTCGTGGCCCCAATTAAGCCGCCTCGCCTCGAAACCGAGCCAGAGGCGTTTGCATTTCTTCGTATGAAGACGCGATGCAATCGCTCTGGACTAAAGCCGGTCAGGCTCATCGCTGCGGGTGCAGGGCCTGTAGCACCGCAATTGGTGCTGCTGGTAGACGAGCTACCGGAGCTACCGGACGACGCAAAGCGACCTTTGCAGAGATATTCACAGCATGTTACAGCTCAGTCTTTGCGACGGCTGCAATTGTGGATGCTGTACGAAAGGACGATCGCAGAAGGGAGCTGGACCGGCAGTTGGAGGAAGCTAGGAGGGAACTGGGCGAACTGCAGGAAAGGTCATCATCAACGTCGTCGCAGACGGAAGCCAATGCGCCAGACCTGTCAATACAGCAGATGGATACACTTTGGAAAAGTCTCAAAGCGATTTACCGAAATCGACCATTTATGAAGGAAATCGATAAACCGGCGGTGATCGACGCATCCGAGTTGATCGCTAATTTGAAGAAAGAATACTACAATGCCGTAGGAGAACCTTCGTTGCATTCCTCGAGGCAGATTAATTACGACCAATTGGAAAGAGCAATCAAGGCTGAAGAGCGAGATAGTCGAATTGGCTCTCGGGAGTCCCTTAATCAAGTCCACTTGCTTCGCGAATCTCACAGTGTCGAATACCTCGTTCAACAATTACTTCACCGCGCCGAGATGCTCGACAAAAGCTCAGCAGAATGCCCATCGTTCGATGAGGCTAGAGGACTGGCGGCGAAAGGATACCCAAACTTTTTATTTCGATCCGTAGATCCGGACAAAGCGGCGAAGAACACGGTAGCCTTGAATAACCAAATTCGATCTCTGGTCAAAACACATGACCTTAGCTGGAAAGAGAAAATCGGCAGAGTTTGCTTTAACCTTCTTGTCTCCGCATATCCTCCCGATATGCATACATACAACACTCTCATCGTTGCCTTTGACAGATCGGGCCATCATGGGTTCTCCGACGCCTTGGTCTACTCATTCTTCCATAGACGGCTGTTGAAACCTACTCCGTCCACTTTTACAGCGATCCTTAACCATTACCGAGTAGCACGTAACCACGGGCAGTTTCTTCGCACCCTCGCTTGTCTTACCGGAATAGATCGCAAGTCGGGTGGGAAGATGGGTAGACGTCATATCAAAGACGTTGAAAGTTGGGGCATGGAGAAGTGGGCAGCCAATACTAAGCTCCGTACAAGCACAGGAAATTGGGTTTGGGAACATGTTCCTCTCAATGTATTGTTGGTGGAAACCATTCTAAACGGCCTCCTCCACTTTAAGCTTTTCGACGAGGCTGCTTCATTCTTCGTCTCCTGTATGCGTTCTGGAGTTGCCCTGAGTACCAGCGTCGTCAAACAGCTCTTTGACGAGTGTGTTGCTGCACTTGATTGGAGAGCAGCGGTGAGACTGATTCGAGGTCTGTCAGATAGTCAGAAGAGGTGGGAGATTCTCCTGTCGCAAGAAGATGCCGACACTACAGCACATCTTGTTGGCAGGGCCTTCGCCCTGATCGATATCTGCGGCCTCAGCACTCACAGAGAACGGGAGGGACGCCTAATCAACTTGGACATCTCCGGGCCCAGACTCAACAGACTCCTGGAATCACTATCAAAAGCAAATCTTTCACCGGATATACTTGTGCACCCTGGCAGCTTCGAAGTCGCCCGCACGAAGGAAGGTGCTGAGATGACTCTATCCAAGAGCCGACTGCTACAACTCGAGAGTATATGGAAGGAATACGAGTTTGTCCGAAAGACTACGAATTCGATCGAGAGCAAATTGTTGTACCCCGAGTTTTCGTCAACGTTTAGAACATCCATGGCTATACATATTAGCAAATCGGCTATCCAGAGATCTGTGATACTGGCACGGGAAGTTCAGGACGTTGTACCAGCCAGTGGATCACTGTCACTTCAGTCACCGCGAGCGGCCCACAATGAGCAACCCTCAGAGGAGGACCGCTTGTCGGAAGAGATGCAGGCAATGGCTGTAAATGATGGGTGGACGGAACAACAAGGAGGACCGAAACTACGAGAAGCGCAAACAGCGGCAAGGGGCTGGAGTAGGACACAAGACGGACTGGTTGCTGAACATGTTTGTTTTAAGCCAAGAGCACTGCTTACTTGGCAGCGACCTTCACACCGGGTCTACGCTGAGGGGAGGCAATGGGCTGTGGGAACTTGAATGTACCAGTGTTTGATACCGAAAATATGGTGGTGGGATGTTGCCAGGGGCTAGAGAAAGATGGCATTAGACAGCGTCTGCAGTTGTATGTACAATTTTAATTATCAATGTACAGTACGCTCATTACTGTACTCCTCCGTCCGTCACATTCCATCCTGGTGTCGTACAATCAGGGTGCTTGGCCTCGTAGCGATCATATGAGGTTCCACATCTGATTGGTGATTAGTAGAGGAAATAAAAAAAGTGAGACGTGATAAATCAAAATGTATCAAATGTCGGCTATCGCCAGGACGTGCGGCCACCGGCAGTGCGTCGGCCAGTCAGTTGGTCAAGCAGTCCGGTCAGTGTCGTCAGTGCAGGAGGGCCCTGCATGGCACGTTGGTGGGATCTGCAGTTTGGATTGGTGCAGAGTCGAGTTACACAACGAGGGCGAGGGCACGGAATTCGGAGGCGTTCGAGGGCGAGACGGAGGCGTGCCCAAAACGATGATTGTCGATGGTGACTTTTGTAATGAGGATTTGGAGAGGCGTCAAGTGTCAGCCTTGGTCCAGTCAGATGCAGGTCTTGGTCCACGGTCGCCAATCAGCAGCAAGAAGTGGTTGGAACTGGCTGGAGCTTGAGCGAGTTACAAGACGGGTCGGATAGACCCACCCCCATGCTACAGGTGAAAATTCTTTGAGTCGCCCGTGAATACTCACTCCATTAAGCTCGTTCTTTGTTCTTGCTCCTCATGTCAACTCGAAGCATAAGTTATTATGGCTTCCCCACATCTCCATCCTGGATAAGGGCCAACGTTGATTTTTTCTTGAAATCCAGGTCAAGTCCCCACGAGGCACACAATTCCAATGGCCTTTTTGTTTCTCTTTCCCGTCCTGTGAAGGGTGCGCCGATCTGCTTTCCATGTCACACTACTGAATTCGTTGCTGGACGACAGACGCCAGACGCCGGACGCCGGACGCAAACGCAGGCGCAGACGACGAAAAGACTGGTAGCGAATCTCTACTCCTGTTGGCATTGTGGACGCTCCCCAGGATGGGGCGGTCTCACGATACCGTCAATTATTCGGGAAAAAAAAAAAGCTAACAGCCGTCGTGACTTAATAGCTTGGGGGATCACGCGACCTGTTCGGGGTCCATCTTCTCTCCACAACTTCGCTCGGCACTCGGGGGTCGCGGTCCGTTGTTTTTGCCATTCGTTGAGGCGATTTTTGATTTCGACTGGTAATTTGGTTTCTCTTTCTTTGTTCTTGTACTTCTTTTTTTCCTTGCCTCTTGTCTCGCACTCGATTTTGTCTATCGTGGGACGTGTTCCGTCTGTCATTCACCACCGGTTCTGGTCCTGCTCTATCATCGAGTTGAAACTTGAGGGGCTGACTACGGAATACAAGGGGTCCAGTGCCAGGGGTAAGCCTGAAAGTTCTTTTGCTCGCTAATTGAACTGGGCCTCCCAGGAGCGCGGCTAAATAGGGGAGTTGTGGAGAGCGACCAGAGAAAGAAGATTCTCTAGAGTTGCGAAGAAGCATCGTCGGTAGGATGAAGTTTGGCAGGAAGTGAGTTCCCCCAGGATTCCCGCCTTTTCTCAATAAACACCCCCCAAAAAAACCTTGGACGGGCAGAGTCACTGAGACGGCACCTTGCTCTTCGCAACTCGTAAAGCCTACCGCGCAATCAGGTCCCTGAGTGGGCGGCCTCGTACATCAACTACAAGGGCCTCAAGAAACTCGTCAAAGCTCTGGCCCAGAAAGCAGGGAATGGAGGAACGGTAGATCCAGCAGGTGAGCTTCTTTTGCCATATATAACCTCACACTTCAAAGCGAGAAGAATGCCTTGGGCGGGTTTTACTTACCCCCGGGTCCCCTAACTCATGACCTTTGCAGAGCTCTTCTTTGCCCTCGACCGTAATCTTGAAGATGTCGACTCTTTCTACAACAAGAAGTTCGCAGAGGCATGTCGGCGGTTGAACATCCTCCACAACCGCTATGGCCGCGTCCCCGACGTCGTGGCCACTCTTGACCAGGATGAGGTTGAAGAGGTCATGGGCGCCTTGCTCGAATTGCGAACACAGCTGAGAAATCTGCAATGGTTCGGCGAGATCAACCGCAGAGGCTTTGTCAAGATTACCAAGAAGCTTGATAAGAAAGTCCCACAGATTTCATATCAACACCGTTACATCTCTACCAAGGTTGACCCCAAGCAGTTTGCCAAGGATGGCAACATTAGTCGATTGCTTGCTGAGATCAACCGCTGGTTATCTGTTCTCAGTGATGCCCAGCAAATTGACGATTCCATGTCGGATCGCTCTACTCGCTCACTCGGTCGTGCCTCCGCCAAGGCCATGCTCAACTTGCCACAGTCACAGCTGGACATTTTGGATCATGCTGTTCGCAATGACGACATCTCGTCCCTCAAATGGGGACTCACCGACGCCAATGTAGGCTCAGACTCGTTTGCTCACACATTGCTGCTCAATCTTCTTCAGCGATCCATCTCTGCCCGTTCGAGGCAGTGCATCACTTACCTTCTTACCCAAGTCAATGGTTTGGACGAGCCCGATGACATCAATGGCCGAAACTGCATCCATCGGCTAGTCATTCACATCGGCCGTACAAAGTCTTCGACCCAGGATGATGAATCAAGCGCGTATCCCGTCCCTGTTGGAACACATTTCACCAATCGGCATCTGCAGCCGGCAGTGTCTGCGGCCGTTCCCGTCAAAGCTATCAATACTAAGGAATCCAACCTTCTTTCAAAGGACGATGAAGCAGTTCAGTTACTCATTTACCTCCTGGATCAGCTTAGTGAAAGTCAGCGTGTGGCTCTGAAGGGCCGTGATTCCTTTGGACGTCTTCCTTTACATTATGCCGCCCAGTTTGGATTCGTTGTTGTCTGCCAAATCATTATGAAATATATGCAGGATTGGAACCAGTTTGACGCCAGGGACGGCATTGACGCTCCTGAATGGCATGACAATGATGGCTTTGCACCACTTCACTTGAGCGTTATTGGGGGCCATCCCTTGACCACGCAGGCATTGCTTCAAGGCGAGAACTGGCAGGGAAGTAGTGAGGCCAAGGTTCAGATTCGAAAGACCATTCCCAAATCTGGCGCCTCCCTGGCCTTGGCCACAAAGTCCAACTATGAACCAATTGTTCAAATGCTTGTTGACGCAGGCGTAGACATCAACTGGACTGACAAGACAGGCGAAACCGCCTTGCACATTGCAGCCAGATTCGGTCACGATGAGTGTGCCCGTATCATTCTCCGTGGGAGCGACTCCCAAAAGGCTAACATCGAGATTGCTGAAAACTCTTATTCTTGGACACCTCTTCATGTGGCAGCTGTCGACGGGTCGCTCTCTGTTGTACGGCTTCTTGTCGACGCTGGCGCCGACGTTTCCAAGCCCGACGCGTCAGGCTGGACAGCCAAGGAACACGCCGCGCTCCGTGGACACATGGATATAGCCCGGTTTCTCGCTGGGCATACCAACGAAGAGGAAGCCGCTGCGAGAATCGCACAGGGTATGCAACAGTCAAACCCACCAGAGAACTCATCCATTGACGGGAGGCGCTCCAATGTACCAAACAGCAATACTCCCCGCCCTGCTGAGCCTGTCAAGACCTTCGGACACCGGTACCTCACCGATGAAAGTCTGGTGCTTGTGAGTCTAGGAACGATGGACACCAGAAAAACCACGGAAGCTGTTCATCTTGACAGCGTTCCTCTCACCGAGGCGCACAGTACGCAGTTGGACACGGCACTTTCCGTGGTCGTGAGCGCCAACGGTGCCCACGGCGACCCGACCACCATTGATCTTCCAGTTCACGAGGGAATCTCTACCGAACCCATCGTTTTCAAGACAACAGACGCAACCAAGGTCAAACTGCTGTTTGACATTGTTCCAACCTACTCGGGAAGCGAGAAGAACAAGATTGGCCGTGCCGTTGCCCTGCTCAAAACAGTAAGGAAGACGATTGGCTCACGGCGCATGAATCTACAAGGCGATGTTTGCGTGCCCATCATGTCCAGTAACCTGGAAGTCATCGGCACTGTCAATTTCAACTTTCTGGTCATTACGCCCTTCTACCATCCCAACATTGAGATTACATCACGACAGACATACTGGAGGAAGCTCTCATCCACCATGCTAATTGGTCATCGCGGCCTGGGCAAGAATCTCACATCCAACAAGTCACTGCAGCTTGGAGAGAATACTCTGCCATCATTCATTGCCGCTGCCAATCTTGGCGCTCAGTACGTCGAATTCGATGTCCAGCTGACCAAAGACCACGTCCCTGTCATCTACCACGACTTCCTCGTCAGTGAGACGGGCATTGACGCTCCAGTCCACACGCTCACCTTGGAACAGTTCCTTCACATCAACCCTGCCAAGGCCAGCAGAGATCGGGCGCATAAGAATGGCGCCAAGAGGGACAGCTTTGATGATGATCTTACTATCCGACCCCGGAGCAACAGCTTTTCGCCGCCGAAACGGTCCTTATCTATGGGCTATGCTGGCACCGGGAATGAGGAGATGGAGGAACGCATGAAGCATACTAGGGACTTCAAGGCGAAGGGATACAAGGCCAACTCTCGAGGAAATTTTATTCAAGCTCCCTTTGCCACGTTGGAAGACTTATTCCGCCAGTTGCCAGAGGAGATTGGTTTTAACATGGAACTCAAGTACCCCATGCTTCACGAGAGTGAGGAGCACGAGATGGACACGTATGCGGTCGAGCTCAACTCGTTCTGCGATACAGTCTTGTCCAAGGTGTACGATCTGGCGGAAAATCGTCACATCATCTTCAGCTCATTCAACCCGGACATTTGCCTGTGTCTCAGCTTTAAGCAGCCTTCTATACCTATCCTGTTTCTTACGGATGCAGGATGTAGCCCTGTGGGCGACATTCGCGCATCCTCACTGCAGGAAGCTATTCGATTCGCCAGTCGATGGAATTTGCTGGGCATTGTGTCTGCTGCGGAGCCATTGATCAACAGCCCTCG